TGGTAAAACCATTGAAAAGGGTGCAAAAAGTATGACTTCTTATTCCACAGCATTATCAACGAGTGTTCCGCACAATAACAGGAACATCTCAAAGACAATGTGATGGAAAGAAAGTCTAGTGAAGTAGCAAAAAGTAGACAATATGGAACAACCTACAAAAAAAAGAAGTAGCACCAAAATGGAGCTATCATGGACATAAAATCTTGCAGTATGTATTCAAACCAACCGCATCGTTATTAAAATCAACCTACCTTTCCAGGACGAGAAGAAGAAGCGTCAAATAAAACTAGGAATAGTAGAAAATGCCTTGGAACAGCTGATAAATCGTGATTGATCGGCAGACGTGGCAAGAGCCCAGACGGAAGAGCGGCGTCGCAGTGTCAACCCTTCGATGCAGAGCAAAGAAGGCAGAGATACGGAGAGATGCGTGCATGCGGGAGAGTGCAGACAACACGACGGCGTGCTCAGACACCCGTCTTCACCAGTAATAACTACCGTGGGACGGCAACGTTCCATCGCGGCGCAGCTCTGGCCGCGACGCTAGCAAGTCCGTGGGACCGCCTCCTCAACTCGGATATGGACTGTATGTACTAGGAACAGCAAGCGTATTACACCCATTATCGATCGTAGTCACTGGGTACTATTCTATTTGGCTCTGGTTCACTAGGACAGAAAGCGAATTTCCCGCGTTCCGCAGCGCAAAACATTTCTTCACTGCGGGAACCCAGGGGCGGTATTCAATCCTTCCCCCAGGGGGATATATCCCCCTCCTCTGATTCAATCCTCTGGGGGGACAAAAAAGGGTTGCGTCATAGGACCTAGCATACCTCTGTGTTTCTACCTGCCAGACAGTTAGAGCAGCGCGACTACCCTCCACTGATGAAGTCTTTTCCCTGAGGGGTCGCGCTGCTCTAACTGTCTGGCAGGTAGAAACACAGAGGTATGCTAGGTCCTATGACGCAACCCTTTTTTGTCCCCCAGAGGATTGAATCAGAGGGGGGAATTCCTGGGGGAAGGATTGAATCCCCGGCCAAAAGATGTCCATCTCTTGCTTCCATCGCGGACTTCGCGGTTCCGCAGCGGAAAATCAGTGGACCGCAGCTCCCGTAGCGAAAAATTTTTTTCGAAGCTGCGAATGCGAAAATTGTCTGCTTTTATTGAACCACAGCCGTTGTCAATCTAGTGTGCGAACTTAGTTGGAGGGGGGGGGCCACGCGGCGGCGCGGCAGTCTGCTCACTTGAACTCATTCCAGCTTTTCACGCATGTCAAGTGACTGCCCCCACCCCCCCTAGACTGCCTACACTCCCCCTGGCCCACGGATTTCCGAACATGCCAGGCGAGCAGACTGCCGCGCCGCCGCGTGCCCCCCCCCCAACTAAGTTAGCACCACCTCATCCTATTGTTGTGACCACGCGGAGGCCGGCGTCTGTTTCGTCTGTTCTCCAAATGTTAGTCCAGGGCGACAAGTTACTATTTCGATCACGTGGCGTGTCATAATACGCGCCACGCGGTCCCGTGGGCCAGGTTTATATACGCGCCATCGAGGTCACGTGCAGTTTCATATTAGCGGCCATCGGGTACTAGGCTTGCAGGTCGGAGACGAAAGACCGCCCCCCCCCCCTGTGGTCCCCCCCCCTACCAAGATAGCACCAGCCAATGTAGCCATTGGCCCGCGAATCGATATGGCATTACACGCGCGAAAACTGAAGATTAATGACTGAAAATCAATAAAAAGCACACATTAAAAGATCACTTACCCCAGAGCGCCACGCACCACAATACAAACCATGCTGTATAGCCGGGAAACGAGCGCAGATAAAATAACGAGACGAGACTGCAGTTTGACAGGACGAAAAATTGATGGAGTAAGAGGGGCGCCTCAGGGTAGAAAAACGCCTGCAAATACCAGTTTCGAAAACTCGCGCCAATAAAAGTGCGATGCAAACAAGCAAAAAGACGCGAAAACGCACAATGCATCCGAATCCACCGTACGCCGTGACCATTCCAGGCAAATACTCGTATATAATCTTGTCCTCGTCCATATGAATGCTCTTCAGCAAATCACTTAAAATTCGTTTAAATTTTAGAAAAGACGTGTGAAAAAAAAAAAACCTTGTGGGTTTGCTTGCTTGTATTGGGTATTCGCAGGATAGCGCCTGGTTCAGAATTGAGAGTATCGATACACATTGCGTAAAATCGATACTCTTTCGATTTCAAATGTTTTTGGGGCAGACTTCCCTCTGGAAGAGAATGGGCAGTAGATTCTTACTGCTAGTTCCAGGCTCATATGAGTCGCAGACATGTAGCAGAGGGGTCTAAATGGATTGGGGAACCCACCTACGACAACTTCCTTATTGGAATTTTTAAATTTCCTACATACTCTTGCATTTCGAGTGGCAATTAAGCCAGCGGGGGGGGGGGGGACGATGACGTCAGCACCACACAAGTAATTTGTTAAAAAAAACCCTATTCGTTACTATCCACATTTCCGAATGGATGCCAAGAGCACTTGGCGCGACCAAAAGGATTGTGTCTGCACGGTCGGCCTTCCGTTCTCCATCTGCCTAGGGGGTTTATATTAATTTGCTACAATAAAAGCCACTTACTAGAAAAATCCCCCTGACACAGCGAACAAAATCAACAAGCAGGACATGTGCAGCCATAGTTGTACAAGACGTCGGCAGTCCCAAAGTGCGAGAAGTAGCATGTGGAAACGATACAACAGCCAGTACAATCATCGCGCTGAAGGCGTTAATCTGTAAATGTAGCTATATGTATCACAGCGTTGCTTCCCAACTCTAAGGGAGGTAGTTTCAGGTGGCAACTATTTTTCAAGTCCCTAGTTCGATTCCTCGTGGTGAAAAATTTTTTTATTTCGTGTTGACGTTCCAAATTCGCGCAAAATGGAGTTAGCATGAATAATTAGTACCAAATTCATGATTAGGAACGTCAGTAACCCTTACAAATAGACTTTGATTGAAAAACTGGTGAAAAAGGTGTGACTAGGGACCCCCTTTTCTGGTATTCAGAGGGCCGTTCAGGAAAAATTAACCATGGTTCTGTGGTTCCCGCATGTGCCTCTATATCATGCAAAAGACCGTTTTGAAAAAGCTTGGCACACCCTGAAAGACCTTCCTTGTTAGTTTCGTTCATTTTGCTTGGCCCTTAGAGCAGTTATTTATTTGATGCGCTCATGCGCACTTTTTCATGTATGAACTCACGATTACGGGAAGGTTCAAAAGGAGAAGTCCAAACACACGCTAGAAGGCTCCTGAGGGCACTAATGTCGTTAGGAGAGACAACTGAAGTGAGTGAAACCTACAGAACATGGGACTAGTGGCAAGCCTTAAAGCGGGAAAGGGATTCTGGAGGAAAACGTGAGTAACCTTTGTTCTCCCAGGCGCTTCTCCCCTCTCCTAGGATTGGTCTTGTGTCACCAACCAGCAGTTTTTTGAAATGTCGATTTGAATTTCCTACAAGGCCAGCGAGCACATCTCTATTTTTGCCACAGAAACATGAGCAAGATATCCTTCAGACGTATCAAAGCGTTTGGTTCGCATTGATGTGACGTGGGACGTCGAACTCTTGGGACATGCGCGGGCCATCCTCCCTTCTTCGTTAAATTGTTAACATATTGGAAATGTTATTACTTACTTATATAAGATTGGCGCCGGAGCCGCCGCGCAAATCCCTTTTCCTGCGTTAAGCTCCGCATTTCTCCTGCTTTCCTTATCCTCCCTCCCGTCTGATGCTCTATCAAATGCCCGAGACCTTGTGAGATACTGCAAGTGTGGTGCGTTACGTGTTGTATATAGCGTTGGCGGTGTTATTACAATCCAGCCATTGCAAACATCATAGGCAAGTTTTACCGAAGCACCCAGATTTTGGAGTACGGCCTTTTCAATTCCATTAACTGAGCATGCCTGTATCACTCACTTCGTTTTGCGGGACGACAGAACGACATAGGCGACAAACAAACCGACACACCAAAGCTATGGTTCATACAATGAAATGATAGTGGGGTAGAAGGAGCAGCAACGTGGTCTCCGGATCGATTTGGGGTTTCGTTGAAATGGAGGCCTAGGTTGATCTTTGCAAATTCAATTCAGTTTCTACCCTGCGCTAGCTACCTACCCTTCTATTTTCGGGCAAATGAGAAAGCGTCCATGCAACCAACACCACAAGTGCGCAATGCCAAAAGAATGTGAGGCTTTTTTCTCCTTATTGCCGTTCGTCACTTGTGTTGTTGTGGTTGCCACTAGACGCTTCACTTCTCATTTCCCGAAATAAAGGGTATGTAGATGCTTGAAGGGTGATGTACATGAAGGATTGCATTACTCACAATTCCATCGTGATATTGGTTTCCTGTGGTGCTGTTTCCCGCTCATAAGAAACATTGCTGATAGACGTTCATCCGTCTTCATATCGTACACGTAAATCCATGCGGTCAACGTCATGGCCATATTAAGCATTACCGGACGTAATAGTTTTGATACCTAAAAAATTCATGTTTGGAGGCTGAATTCTCTCAGACAACATCTACACATGATAGAGTGGGCGGAGTTTGCGATGCACAGTGGCCAAGCGTCGCTTCTCCCGCTGCACATTAGCCTTTCTGCTGCTGCGCCGAGTGTTGAAAAGTATAGTCATTATACTCAATCTGTTGAAATCACTCACCTCACCGAACTGCGACACCAACCGGCATATGAACCGGTCGCATTGGCATGTATGGCGCATTCTCTGAAGAAATGACTTTTTGGTTTGAAATCAAGATGGCGCTACAACTTCAATAGAAGTGTTGAAAGTAAATGCTCCCGCCAGCCTCTGTATTTGTCTTGACAACTTGATAATTTTTACAATGAGCTGGGATAAATTACTGAACTGTAGCCTTCCAGAGTAGGTAAAATAGCTTTATAATAGTAGGCGCCATAGAAAAAGTTTTAGAGACAACGCCGGATAGCCGGCAACTCGAAACGAACACCACGTACCTCAATCCGATCGGCCTGCCAGACGAGATAACCACCACATCCTATCATATCATCCCAAGTTCATAACAGTTGCCACGTGGCGAATCGCTTGAAGCAGTCAACACAGGGCAGTTCTGGTATGGCTTTGCTTTGAGGCCTTTTGCTCATGTCACTAAGCATAAGCAATGTACTTGGCTGAACTGAAACATTTGCGATAAATGCCAATCTCAGAATTCTATTTTGGCGCCATCGCCATACCGTAGACGGGAGCCTACAACTACGAGGGGGCAATAAAAAAGACATTTTGTCCAGACTCGAAACGGATTTTGATGACACTTCGCTCAGCTCAAAGCGTCCAACTTATTAGAATTGAAGAGCGCATTTCATTTCATACGGAAATCTTTAAAGTGGCCATCCATTGTGGACGGGGCAATCAGAAAAGTTTGCCCCGGAAACATGGTGCTCTGGTCGAGCTCAATGGGGTTCTCGACTGATCGTGTACCGTTACGACGGGTTCCGAAGGGCGGGTTCCGAGGGGTTTGCATAGTTAGAGCTAATGTCCCTAGGAAACTATCCCACGTTGAATCGATCCAAGAAATTATGTAAGAGCTTCAGGCTGAAGCAGTTACTGTAGGCCTCCCTGAGCTCGACGACGGTGACAGATGACGTCATATTCTGAAGACGGTGAGGGTAGTGAAGGAGGGCCTGTGTACTTATAGAGGGACATTTAGGGAATATTTTGCTGAGGAACTTCCGTCAACGACGGCAATAGTCAAAAAAAGGCCGTAAAGTTGCGATCCTGGGTAAAATGTCTTTTTATTTTGTTCCCCCCTCCCGCCTCTGTAGATGGCCGGCAAGCGGCCTAAAGATGCAGTAAAGCAGCGTGACTTGATGACTGGCTCTAATCTTGCGTCTTGAATTCGCCAGCGTCTTAGGTGGCCGTTTGACTATTCCATGCGAGAAGGCGACTTCAGATTTTCAGAAGACCCCGAGTCCTCACCGAAATCAATAGGATGGGCGTTGTTGAAAAAGGATAGGAGTAGACGATTTACAATTTTCAATTTGTTGATGATCTGAATGCTGGGTTTTCGATTTAATTCCACGTTTCTACTTGGCATATATGAGTTAGTTGGTTGGAGGCTGATTGAGATCGGCCATGACCAGTATTCTGAATTACTTTGTGTGGAATATAGAACTGGATGGTGAATTGTCGATATGAACGGGATGACGAACGCAGATAAGACTAGTTGCCGGCTTTGTGACGTGCAAAACTTTCCAAAAACCTTAACCCCTGTTGGCACAGCCGTAACTATAGCAACTGCAGTAAAATAAGCACGAGGATCTAAACCCATTCTTATACATATGATGAGCCTAAAAATTAAAACTCAAAAAGTTATTAAACCCAAAATTAAAGAAAACAAAGCACTGGTAAAATAAAAATTCAACTTTAACGGGAAAAAATCTTACTTCTGAAAAACATAAATTTAAGTTTTATTGAGGGTAAAAAATTAATTCATAAACATTTAAAGCTGTGAGCTTTGATTTGGAAATGGCGGCGGTGAGTTTCGAAATCAGGATGAAAGAGTCAGTAAAAACGTTTGAATGTGGTTATCTCTAAGTTCCAGGTTATGTTTTTTTGCTATAATGTAGCCAGTGTAACTAATGTGCATCTTACTGAGGCGTTCTTCAGTAAATCTAAATTCAATATTAGTCAACATTTCATTGCTGGGGTTACAAGGGCTTCTGTCAACCAAAGGGGAGAGCGTAGCTGGAAAAGCACACACTTTGTGTCTTATTGGGACTAAGCCTTTTGAAGGAGATAAAGAAAGAGGAGATATGCTGTGATAGTGTGCACTTGTGAGAGCTCCCAGACATCACTACAAAACGCTGAACCGCCAAGGCTCACGGTTGATAGATCCTGAGACCCATTCTCGGGTCTGCTATAGTGGTGGCGCTACATTATCTCACTCCCATGATGAAGAAGCGCATATCTAGGCTTCTATTGACGAAATGGCAATTCGCTTTGTTTAGCTGGCCCCAATCCGCAAACATTTGTTATATATGCTGAATAGATCTTCAAGAAGCCATGCAATTTCTCGCATGGATGTTGCATGCACTGGTTCAACTGTATACCCTTTAGTTCCGAGTGACAGCTAAGCGTAAACCTGCTTTTTACGGGTAGCTGCGACTTATTTTTGGACATTTCTTCGGAGTCGAGGCGATTCTGTGGAAGTAAGCAAACCAGCCCTTTTGGCGTTTCTGCTGGGGCCGTATGCTGAATGTTGGGGAGGGGATGGGGTCCCCGACGGTCGACGGACTACTTCAACTCGGTCCTTAAAACCGCCTCAATTTGATGCTTACCTCAGAACTAAGCCTTAAAGAGAGGACGGACGCGGTCCGTCCCCTCTCCAAGGCTTAGTCCTGGGGTGAGCAAACCAGCCCTTCTGGCGGAGCTGCTGGACCAGCTGCACCACTTGCGTCAGTACTCTCCTACCGTACCGACCGAGTTGAAGTAGTCCGTCGACCGGGACCCCATCCCCTCCCCAACATTCAGCATACGGCCCCAGCAGAAACGCCAAAAGGGCTGGTTTGCTTACCTCATCACTGTGTAACCCTTTTAGACTGTCATCGTCCCAACATGCCCAGGTCTTATCGACTAGAGTTGATCTTTGTCGATTGGGGTAGTTTCAGCTGGAGCACTTACGGAATAACTATATCTTATTTCAGTTTTTTCTCATGCGCTGGTCTTACCTAAAATGATGGACCACTGGGTCGAGGGTAGGTTTCAATCAGACGGGACCCTCCCAAGTTCCAGCGCTTTACGATTATCGATAAAACTGACCAACCGGGTCAATCGCATCACCACCATTCACCGTACCTTGCTCGAAAGGGAGCGCCTTTAGCTCATCGATTGCCGGAACTTTTTCCTTATCCTGTTTTTAATAGCTTTCTTTTTTGACTGTCCTACGTATTTTCTTTGGATATTGCTTTGAGTGTTTCGCCCAAGCACGTGCCACCAACCCAAAATGTTTGATAATGCCAAGAAATCCTTCAAATTTCACTCTTGAAATCGGCCATCTTTACTCCGCAGCCTTTTGGCTCTATACAAGTGGGGTGGGCACGCCCAGCTTTTCACGCATGTCAAGTGACTGCCCTCACCCCACCCCCTAGATTGGCTACACTCCCCCTGGCTCACGAATTCCCCGATTCTCGTGACAGTATAGTAGCGGGCAGCAGTCCCACTTACATACATTTCTGTT